GCGACAGAAGGTGTTCTGAAACATTGGAGTACATTTGCATGTTAAATGGAGAGGCTAGTCTGTAATATATGTAAATTTATGCATGGCTTCATAGTTTAATTTAAAAATTTGCAGCTGCATATGGTATGGGAGCAGGTGAAAAGTCAGTTTTAGTTTAATGATGCTAACAAACATTGGATGCTGTCCTGTCTTAGGGAAGGAATGCACTGAATGCACCCCTATCTGCCAATCTATAAATCTGTCATAGGAATATAATGTTACACCAATGTTCAGCTTCAAGGTCATCTGTGAGTAGACCCAGAAGTACAATAGGTGCAAATCTACCAAGTGAATAGACCTCAGAAAAGGGAGGAGGCAAAATGTGTATGGACCCAAGTCGCTGGGCTGTAGATTTGCCTCTTTAGCAAATGAATGCATGTTTATTGTATACAAAACCAGTTGAGGGACAGGCAGGGCTTTTGCCTTCATAAGTGAGTGAGAGCTTTCAGCTGAGTGATATCCACTCTGGCAGGTGTAAAAGAGGTGCCTAACCTTGGTTCCGTCTCTAACGCTCGTGTCAGCGCAACTTGCTCATCACTTGGAGTCACCGGGAAGTTATTACCAAGTTGTGCGTTAACTGCAGGGTAGAGAGTTTTTATGTGCCGGCCTCTGCCATCTGGCAGAAATAGTAAAAACCAGCAGACCCAGCAGCAGCAAAAAGGCTATTGGTGTAATTGGTGCTCACTGTTCAGCCTAGCATGGCTCAATAGACAGATATTTTTTGAGAGCAATGGGGTAAGAGGAGAGAAGAGTCAAAAGATAAAGGAATCATAGGTTTCTCTCGGTATGGAAAAAAAATGAGCGGGGATCAGATTCTGTGCTCATTTAACAGCTATGTAAGCCTTTTCTGGAATCCGTAGGGTTTGCAAAGTGGAACTTGAGTTAAATTTTCCCCTGAGTAGAGCTATAATGGCAAAGCGATGCTAAGGAAAGACTAGATTTAACCAGCATTGCAGAGAGTCATCAGGCTCGTGTTTGTGTGATACAGTCCAGCACCAAACCGTGTGTGTACTGCTGAGGCTGACATCAGTGTAATGAAGAAGAATTTGGCCGTATTTTCAAAATCCTGCTGGGTGTTATGTTCTGAGGCAATGAGCTTTATGAAATTTTTGTCACTATTGAAAAGAACCAGTAAAATCATAAACGTGGATGTGCAGCAGTGGCATGTGGTTCTTGGCTGGAAGAGATCTATGCTGTGGGGTAAGTCACATAATTTCTAGGTGCCTTGACTTCCCCATCAGTGAAATGTGTATAAAAGCCTTTCCTTCCTGCTGTCCTTTGTGTATCTTTTCTCCAATAACAATTTCACAACGTGACTGTGCAATGCATAGCACAGTTGGAGCCCATAGATACTGTAATAAACCAGGGAATATTATCTGAACATCCCTTTCAACAGCCCGTCAGCCCAATCCTCTACTCTATTACCTCCCTGCCTATTGACTTTTGATTATGCTATGGCGTTTGGTCCAGTGCCAAATGGCATGAATAATATGGATCTTACAGTATAAATAAGCTTTTAGCCATTGTCTTTTAAGTTACTGGAAAGTTTTGGTGTGGGAGGAAGGAGGAAAACCCAAAGGAAAAGGGAAACTGCTCAGATTGCAGAGAGTCCTCCAAAGACTTTTTGGAGAACAATTGCAATTACAAACACGCTGTTAGTGTTGTGTTTCATTTTCAATTCGAACCCATAGAGTTCAATTATTATTTTCATTAATGGTGTCAGGTTTTCATCAGAGTGCACAAACAAGGAGGTTTTCCTTGGAGATTTTTTTTCCTAGCAAATGCGGCCATGCCAAATAACTGCATTCAGCATCGAGAAATGACTGGCTGTATAACCGGCAGTGCATTCTCCCCTAACCCTTGTTTCTTGAAAATGGGATCACTTTGCAAGACAGAATAAGCATTTACCAAATGAGTGTGAATTGCGATTGCGGATGTGTGTGCCTGCTGCTGCTCAGAAGGAGCGAAATGGAATCTCCTTTAGAGATGAAAATTGTGCAAAAGGTGGAAAATGTACAGAATATAAACATCAACTTTACTGACATGTTTTGGGTTTGGATGATGTTGCAGGTTTACATTCAGTTAGTACTAATTTGGAAGCTAAGCTCTTAAAAAAACCCCGCTAGATACAGGGCAGAGAGAAATCTAGTGTTCTAGGCTGCAGAGAGATGGGATATTCGAGGAGGAATTGTTCTGTGATTAAGGCATGAGACTGGGAGTCAGACATGCATTCAAGTCCAACCGTTGCTGAGGACTCAAGGTGCAATGTTCTTTCTTGATCCATCTGAAATAGGTGTACTTTCGTCCTGTATCTTCTTTAATACGTTGCATAGGGTGTTACTTACCCGAGTGTGATTAGGACCTCTTGGCATGGCAAACAAATCATAATTCGAAGCAGTTTTATGATAGGTACTGCCATCCTGTAGTTCTAGGGTTGACTTTTAAGGTAGTCTGATCTGTTGGCCTACCTTAGCTGAATCCCTGACCTTTTTTTGTTCCACTTTCACATCCATCTCGAGCATTAGCTTTTCTCAGTGTTGCGAGGGGCCAGAGGCTGTACAAATCAGACACTTACTAGGAACAGACTTCTGCCTTCCCATGGTGTTTACAGGTGGTGGTTCAGGTCTGATACTAGGCTCAGAAAAAGAGGCCTTAAAGGTCCCATGTCGAAACTTCAGCTTTAAGCTTAAAATCCAAACTGGAGTGATTGACTAAGTGTGGGAGAAAGAAAGCAGGATGTTAAACAGTGGGTGTTGGTAAATGACATTGGACTGTTAGCCTTGGAAAACTGAATTGTTTTCAGACTTAAAATTATCTGATGTTTCCAATTTATTTGAAGGATACAGCACCTTTTGCCATTTTAAAGTCCTTTTTAAGCTTTTCTCCTTTTTTAAAATAAAAGCACTAATTCCACCTGTTCTCTATTACACTTATCTGATCTGCATGTCTTCATATGCTTTGCATTGCGAGCACCTTGGAAGAAGCATGCTGTTATTGATTGATTAAATATTAATTTAATAATATAGATGGGCCTCAACAGAAAATTTCTGATCTAGACTGTCCTAGTGCAAAGGATCTTTGTGTCCTGTGGATTTTGGTCTATACCACCTTGATTTAATAATACAAGTACAAATACACAAAAGCTTCACATCTTGAAGCTAGCTTCCCTTTTGCCATTCCAATTCTGCTAACATCAGTGCAGTTACTTAGCCATATTCTTCAAACCTTTGCAGAAGCTGACTTTACCTTGGTAAGCATCGATTTCAAAGCTGGAAAAGAAACATAAAACACAGGAAAAAGTTCTTGGAGAAAGGGCTCAGGATCAGTGCCTGGAAGCTGAGAGACAGAGAGGTGAGGTGGAGGAGAAAGATGTAACAGCAACGTGTGTAGCAGAAAGTATAGATGGAAGCATAAAAATAAGAACTGTAGAAACTTAAGAGGAAGGGACCTCAAAGGATCACTTATTCCATCTTCCTTGGGTTTGCACACACCTAACTCGTCTCTCACGCAAGGCTGAGGAATTCTCTTGCGTTGTCTGGTTGTCCTCTGCATGGAGAAATGTGGAGCTGGAGAAAAGTCTCACCAGATCGGTGGTCCCATAGCTGAAGAAATTACTTTGCATTAAGGCAAGAGGATAGGGAAGTGTTTCTTATTTTTCCCATCAGGAAATGAGGATAGTGTAGGGGGCAGGAGTAGCAGACATTATGTTCATGTGCGGTTTTTGGTGCAGCTGGAGTCTTTCTGTTAAAAAACAAGTGACAAATGAACAGCCAGCTTCTCCTGGCCTAGGCTTGGGACCTCGTATCATCTGACTCATGCTCCCCTTCTCTCATAGTAAATCTCTGACAAACTCAGAAAAGTCTTTTGACCTACATATGTTGGGTTTCACATTTGTTAAACTGGGTTCACACTTTATGCACAGGAGTTTTGTGAAGATTAATTAGCTGCTGTTTGTGGAGTATCATATAAATACTCTGGATTATTGTAATAACCTCACTCATTTCTCACACAGTATAAGGTGTATGTTCGTTTAGAATGCCTTTGTGCAATGCCTGATCCCACACTGACTATAACGGCTCAAAAAGAGTAGGAAATTTTCTCCTCAGCTCCCTAATAATACACACTGACATAATAGAATGAAATTACTCCAGAGATAAATATTCAGATTATAAAGAAGTCTTCTACTGTGTTATTCATTAAAATCAAGATGGTGATGTCAAATAAGTGCAATTAATTGATTTTAAACACTGACCTTCAAAAGTATGTGCAGAATCTGACCTAGTCCCTTTGAAAGGAAGAAGTTTCAAGTAAAGCCTTCTACTTTTTCGTGCTGTGGCATCGGGTAGGGTTACTTGTCACACTTATCTCAGTGTTTGTAATGCCAAGACATACACGGGTGAGTCGAGGGGAGGATGGGAGACCCTGATCTCAGAGTTTCCTCACTTTGATGGAGTTGGAGTTAGGCCCTCACTGCAATGATAGTTTTACAGTTCATAGTATATTTAATCTTCATATTGTTTAAGTGCAGCAAAGTTATTAATAATAACAGCTTCTAGCTGTTTCTTTGCTCACTTCGTGACTTTTTGGAAGCACTTTAATTATTTAAGCAGAATGCCACCCTGTCTTTGTATTTTCATTAGATTGTAGCGTCATAGAATTTGCTGATAAACACAATCATACTAGATGGTAGGCATGTTCTCCTGCCAAATGACTTAGGCCATGAATCCAAATTCTACAGGATCCCAAACAAAACAGGATCATCTCAGTATTTGTGTTACAAGGGATATTTTTGAAGTGTATCCAGAGGCTGCTCACAGGATAAAAACAGTGTTTGATCTCTTGATTCTGTACCTGTATTTGAAGAAAGCACAAGAGGTGGATGGGAAGGCTAGTTAAGATGTAGAACCAGGAGTCAGGAGATCTGAGTCCTAGTCCCAGCTCTGCGGCAGACCTGCGATGTGATGGGGGAGCAATTCCCTCCCAGTTTCCAGGCCCTGGCGTTTTTGCCTGTAAAGGGTGAGTTGCACCACCTGCTGCAGAGGGGTTTTGTGAGGCAGGATTAATTGAAGTTTAAGTCCCATAGAATGGTGCTATAAAAGCACAAAGCATATTATCTATTTCTGTGGTTCCACGTGGTGAGACTAGTCAGTCCCAGGTCTTGTGGCAGTTTTAAGAAAACTAATGGATTTTTTTTTTTTTTTTTTAAAGCTACACCTTCTGTTGCATGTGGGACTGCTCTTTAGGGCTTTTGTCTAGGCCTGTTGAAGTCACAAGAAGGATTTTTTTATTTTTTTTTTTCTCCTTCCCCTCCTCCTGGCGCCAACAGGGTTTCATTAAGGTTCTTCTCAATCGTCCGAGATGGAGGATAAAGGAGGATAAACGTTCTCAGAGCTGTGGAACATTCTTTCTAGTTCTAGCCACATTTTTAAGTTGCCTCAGGTAGGTACAGAACCGAATAATATAGGCAGACAGAGGCGAGGTGGGAGCGTGGGTCAGCAATTGCTTTGGAAAGAGCTTGAGCTGCAAGACCTTACTTACTTTGCCCTTCCCTTTCTCACTGTCCCTTGACAGCCCTCTGTGGGGGAATTTGTTCTGCTGTCTCTCAACTGTATTGTGGATTCCATGAGCGCTCCCAGTCTGCTTTCCCACAAAGGCAGATAGGATTGCTCATAGTATTGCTGAAAAATAGTTGAGATAACTCGACTGTCTTTGTACTAAAGTGGAGAAGGGGCACGTAGCTGATTCATCAACCTGACTCCTTGGCATGATGGTAACTCCCGGTAGGAGGAGCAGTAACTTTAAGATGGGTCCCTTTAAATCCTAAAAGAGGGAGTTATGTTCAAAGTGGAATTTTGGAGACCTCTGCGAGTGTAGCAGTCTGTAGATAGAAAGCTTGACTATATGAGAGAGACAGTAGGGAAAAAAGGATAAGTCTGTTATATCCTAATTTTACGTCTATGCATTAAGTTAATTGGCTTTTCTATAGCAATGCCAGAATTTCTAGTGGTAGTCATTCTAAAGTGTTTAGATTTTCCCCCAGCGCCCTTAGATGTTGATCTATGAGATGGCTGGGCTCTGCTCTCTCTGCTTGGCTGGAATCAGAGTTATCTGCTAAACTCATAGCTAAAGCCATCCTTAGCAAGGAACAAAGGCCAGCTAAGAAACATGAAAATGAGCTATTTTTTTTAAATTCTGGGTTTTATTTTTTGGTGTATGTCTAGGTTAAGGCCAAAAACTAGCTAAAGGTTCTCATTTAAAAAAATTAATTAAAGCCTTTCTGCAATTCTACTGTTACCCCTAAATCGGCTTCATTTAGTGCTAAAGCTTCCCTCCTCTTTTGCTCCCCCCAAGTCATTTTTATTCTAATGCTGCAATAAATATTAATGCATTTCCCAGATGCAACCATTTAAAGTATATATGTATATATAACAACCTACCAAATACTTCGTGCAGATGCCCCGTTGCAGCTAAAATTTGACTGGAGAAACTCTGAAAGGAGGAAAAGGAGACATGATTCAAAGATAAAAATTCGTCTGTGTGCATCTAAATAAAACTAAATCTAAATCTGGAGTGATGGGAGGGAAAACTATCTTAGTGCAGCATATCCAGTGAGCTCCGAAGAAACAACGACCATCTTAGTGCAGACAATATGTGTGCATACTGCTACAATGCTCAAGTACTAAAACCCAAAGCCAGCACTTTCAAAAGTGAGCTGAGGAATTACTGATGCCCATTTTGTGATATCTTAAAGGTGCACAATTTTCGGCAGCTGAGGTGCTCAGCAATTCTAGAAAGTCAAGCACCTTTAAGTTGTCTCAAGTGGGACTCCCAAAATTGCTGTTGGTTAAATATCCTGGCTAAATACCCTAAAGCTCTGTGCGTTTGCGTGCTGAGTGCTGTTCATTGCAAAGCAGTTCGTGAGCGATGAGAATGCTCTGCGTCTTGTAGGAGGCAGACAGCTCGGAGGGAAGGAGAGTTTTGTTTTCTGTGTATTTTTAATGGACAATACACCCATTGGTATGAATCAGCACAGATCTAATTGAAATCCAAGTTAATTTTCACATACGCTGCTGATTGACATTTGCTGGGGATCTGAACCCCAATTTTCTGGAGATGTTTAGCAGAAAATAGGAATTTAGTTCGTTGCCGTGCAGTGTGGCAGAGTTCAGTCACGGATACTGTTAAACATATTTAGAATTTTTACCTTTCTGTATCTGCCTTTTAGGGGTTTCTGTAACACAGCACCGCTGTATCTCAGCTCTTCCCAAAGTCTGTTCAGCTGACACAGCGAGTTCTCTTACAGACACCTTTCTTTGCTCTGATTTTCTGCGTTCTTTAGTTCGTGTTGATCATTTTTCTCATCTGGATTAATAGGACTGCAAGCATTTAAAAAAATTAAAAAGGAAACTGGGCATGTTCCTGATTAATTTGGTCTTTTAGTTTTCCTTGAAAATAACAACTTCTTGTGGATTTTCTTTGCAGTTGTCCACCAGAATAATCAGTTAGCAAGCGGCTCGTTGGTTTTAATGTAAAAGTTACTTGCCTTGGTTTCATTATATAGTTTGGTTCCGTTCAGCAGTTTTTCCTTCCATAGGTAGATCTCGGTAACACAAGCTGTTTACATCTCTGCAAATATTTTTAAATGTATGTAAGAGGAGGGCAGGATAAAAAGGAGTGTTTGTGAGTAACATTACTGGCTCAAATTCTCCTGTGAATCTTTGAGTGTGCCAGCATGTGTAGTATTTTTTCTTCTGAAAACATTCTTAACAGATAAAATCTTGCTTACCAAATCGTTTGAATAAAGCGGTCACAGGTTTTAGCATGAGGAGTCAATAAGACGTCTTTGATAGAATATATCCACTCAGTGCTGCTCCTGAGGCAAGAAGTTCTGTAGGATTTTGAGTTCAGAATATGAGGAGGTGACCAGGGCTCTGTTCACAGAAGTTGCCCTCTGACAGCCGAGCACCGACACATCTCTCCTGCAGAACCTGCACGCCAGCGTGAGGAGAGACCGCAGCAGGACGCGGCCGTGTCACCGGTCTGTGCCATGGGAAGGAGCACTGAGCTCCTTAAGGCATATACGAGAAGGAAAGGTGGAGAGAAAAAGAACAGTCTGCAAACTGCACACCCGGAGAAAATAAATGTTTTAGAGATTTTTAAAATGTTTGTGAGAGATTTAAGGAAAAAAGGAATGTTTTAAGTTAAAAAGCTCACTGGAAGGATGTATTTTGTGACATTCATTTATGTGACCTTATCTGGGTCTTTTTTGTGGGTTCAGTTGTTGTGAGGTTTTTGAAGGGTTTTGTTTGTTCAAGCAACCTATAAATGGATCAGATCCTTCGACATTTCTTTGTATGTTTGGGGCAGATGGAAGAGAAATACCGCGCTGTAAGTGGTGCAGAGAAAGTCGCAATAACAAGGGAGAGTGGATTTCTGCTTTATTGTCTGGCGTTAGGACTATTTCGTTGTTGTTGGTAAACCCTAGGAATATACATCTTTCTCCTTTAAAGTTCTAATTCAAGGCATGAATGTGTGAGTTCTGAAGGGACTTAGGGACTGCGGTAAAAAATCGTTGTCATAGTAACAGAAAGGGAAATAGGCCTGGCTCACCTGGGACTTTAACTTACTGCAAAAGCGGATTTTTTTTTTTTTTAAGGAAAGCACTCAACAAGAGAAATAAATAAATAACTTGTTCTTTGTATTCTACATCAATTCTTCAACTATTTATTTTTTTCTTATATCCAAGTCTTTTTCCTTCTAAATCTATCTTAAAGTCTTTGATTTTTTTTTTATTTTAATTGTTGCAGTTAAACCCATTTTGTCCGACAAATGGAAATGAAAAGAATCACAGAAAATATTTTCCCTTGCGATAGAGAATGCCAAGAAAATTTCTTGCCTGTTAGGTGTGAATTTTGAAGACATGCTTGTTTTGTTTTTAATCCAACAGCTATGATTTTTCATGTAGTTTCTTTACTTCTGAAATTCACAAATTTAATCAGATTGATCAGATAACAAAGGGATGAATGCTCTCCTCCCTGGATTTGACACAAAATTTTGTGGAATAGCGTATAGAAAAATGCCTGCCTGATATTTCTAAACTGTAAAACCTATATGCTGTAGTGCGTAGTGTTGGGTGAGCCAGTCAAGCATGCTGAAGATTCAACTTGTGTACGTGACAAGCTAAACTCTACAGGATAATAACACATAAAGATAGGCATATGTGACAGGGCAAAAATAATTGGCACGAGAACTTTGTACAATGTTAATAGGTTTATCTGCTTGGACAGCATGAGCTGTCATGTATTACTTCAGGTTGTGTTTTTGTTATCCTCTCTCAAAATCTATGTAAGATTATAATCTGGACTCGTGGCAGTTCTGCTTCTCTGCTTTAGTTGCTGAAATCTTAATAGCTAAAGCCATCGTCGTGATGAAATCTCATCAGCTTCTTCTGGGAGCTGTATTTGTTTCTGTTTTTTAATACATTCTAAGTAGTTTCAAGGCTTATCTGCTCCAGAGTTGCCCTGTCTGTTTTTGTAGTTTTTACAATAACATTATCCTTCTATATTGTTTCACGGAAAATCCCTTCAGACAGCGAAAGACAGACCTTGTATGCAAGGGAGAGATAAAGAAAGAGACTAAAATCGTGTGGTCAAACATGCAGTGAGGGAACGGGCATAAATCGGAGTTGATATGTTGGGTTACACCAGCTAGCAGCCCAGCTCAGAGTGGATTACAGTCACGTTGGTTGTGCTTTACCTGATTTTTTTTTAACTTCTGTTTGTTAGGGTTTGGTTCTTTTTGTTTCATTTCTGTTTTGGTAAGTTCTTACAGTCCTTGTCTACTAATACACTGTCCTGTAAATCACTATGATGTACACTTTAAAACACAACGTAACAGCACGTGTTTAGTTACGGTTAATGGAAGTGACATGGTTCTTTATCTTTCCAGATTCTTCTTAAAATTTTTTCTCAAGTGCAATCAGAATTGCTTGAAAACAGCAGGAAACCCAAGAGATATGAGACGGTTCCAGGTAAGTCTTACAAGGCTCAGCATTAACCTGTCTGCTTTTTTTTCTTCTTTTTCCCTCTCCTCTCTCCTCCATTGTTCATAATAAGTATGATGACAGTATATGATAGGCCATATCAGATATTGTTAAGTTTTTCTCCATTTGTTGTGTTTAAAGCTTTTTTTCCCCTTTTCCCTCTTTTTTTCCACTCTGAATCCCCAAGGGGAAGTGATGTACTGTACCAACCAGCAGTGGATATTTGATTTGACACCCTCGGGCAAAGCACTCGCACATACAGCTGCCCACAGCAGGGATCATGTTTGTGATACTTAGATGCCTCAGAATTTTTCAAAGTAGCTCTGTACGTGGTACACAAGCAGTCTCCTCATTCTCCCTCCACTGCCTATCTCTTTTGCTTTTTAACACTCTCATGCCCTCCCTTTCAGCTGCTTTTAAAAAAAGAAGCCAAAATAGCGATGGTCACTTTAAGATCTCACGCAGCAAAGCAACAAGACCCATGGGACAATGACCCAGCTGCTTTGCAGTGAAATCTGCCACTGGTTTCATCATAGCTGTCGCTGATGTATTGTGAATACCAGCTAATAAAAACACAGAAGGAGGTGCAGCGTGTCACTGGTGAAGAGAAAAGCAGACGCAGTCTCCCATCTTTCCTACGCCAACCTTTTTAGCACCTATGTGTAATAAATAGGTATTTTACCGGTAACTTAGCCCTCATGAAGATGGAAACGGAAGGCTCAAGCCTTTTCCATCCTGGATGCACTGTCACGTCTCCGTGCGGTGCGAGAGGTGGCACGGCCGAGCGCGCCGTGCGGGAGCGGCGCCAGAACTCGCTCCCATGCGGCTGAGAGCGAGGCAGCGTGGTCTGGCGAAAGGGACACAAGGCTGCAGGTCAGATGGTCGGACTGTGCCACCGATTTCCCGGGTCACCTCTGATGAGCCGTTTTCCCCTTCTTGTGGTGTATATTCCCACCTCTCCAAAGGGGGTCGCTCACCTTGGTGAAACTTTGTGGTCTTGATTCAGGAGAGCATTTGAGAAAGGGCGGGCGTGCTTTGCCAGCCGGAGCCTGATGAAAATCAGGACTATCCTTGTAAATGCTGTCACTGCTTATTATCATTATTATTGTAATAATAATGATAATAATAATATTCTTCACTGTGTCACATCCCTGATACAAAGAGGGTTTTAGCTTATTGAGGGATGTCTGTTTTCTTGTAGTGGGAAGGTGACATCCCTAGGTTTGGCAATTCATGTTTCGTTGCTTGGGCACTTGCATCAGTTTCCTCATTTATAAATGAAGTTAAAACTCCACAGGAGTTTACAGAGTTGTTTAAAATTTTCCGTCAAAACATGTTTTCAAAGGCAAGTGATTTTATTATTTTTTTAAACTTTTATTAGCAATAAAAGAGCCACAGGAGGTATATTTTTATTTTTAAAAAAAGGAGTCAACTTTTAAGAGAAATACTGCACAAAGAAAGCTTCTGAAAGCTGCAAAAATTTTAAAGAAAGGTAGGCAAAAATATAAGAGTTGTTAATCTTTTGTTTTGAGCGGAAATAAATTTACAGAAAAATTCCTGACAAACTTAATTTTTTTCACTGGTGGTTTAAAGAGGCTGCAGTGACTTCTTCATTCTGTGTTTTTAGAGCTGATAAGACGTGAGAAAAGAGAGGTACTCGTTGTTAGGAAATTTGCGCTGATTTTTTTCTTCAAGTGGCAATTTCCATAAAGAAAAAACACCAATTAGGTATCATCTGCCAAGAATGCGAAAAAATCTGGGAGTAAACGAAAACTCAGTTTATAGCATGTAAACAGATCTTGCTAGCTCTTAGAGCCAGCTAGAATAGCTGATTGTGGAATGTGATGAAACATAAATACGGTCTCTTTTTTTGTTACGAGTTGGTAAAACTCTTGCACAAGCGTATCCTGATTAGCACCTGGGGATTCGAGGCGCTGCCATATTACAAATAATATTTGTTGTAACGGCCTAAATACAAGTTCTGGATCCAAACACACCTGAACACTGAAGAAATTCGGATCTGATTTCAATCTCATGATAGCTGCCCCCTCGCTATGGCGAGTGAAACTAAAATCCTAGATTTCGATCAGGTGCTGAACTGCAGGATTTTGCATCTAATATTTTTTGGCAGAAATCTCTCTCTAGTATCAGCCTTATTCTTCATTTCACCTCTGTATTCCACACCCCAAATGGTGATGTTGTAGAGCCTAAACGGCTTCAAATTTCCAGTGAGACATTGAACAGGGAAGCCGAACTGAGTCTTACAGCACCCACATGGTTGCTGGTGGAATGCCGTATCCTTCAGCCCATCCACCTGGCGTGCCTCTCGTGCATGAGAAAGCATGGCCTACGGTACGAAGATCAAAAGCAATTTGATCTTTGTACCAAAATCAGCAGTTTCTTGAAGAAGAAAATGAGCTGGGATAGACTCTTCAGCTGGATTTTCTGCCTTACAACGTGCCAAGCCGGCAAAATAGAGCCAAGTGAAAGTCTCTGGTTCTGTTTTGCAGGGCTTACTTAAACTCCTTTTGCACTTGCAGTCCATGTGAGTTCATACCCTTTGAGTTTCATTGTGAGACTGAAGTTCAAACCCCCAAATTAATCAAGATCAGGCAAAACCACTACATTTAGCTTACTTTTTGTCCAAACCAAAAATGTTGACAAGACTTTTTTTCAGAGTTACAAAAATGAACCCTTTGAGGCAAATGGCAAAATGCTTGAGGTTTTGAGTGAAAGCAGGATCTTCATTCAGGCTTGTTCAGAACTGGACGCATCAGTTGATGAGCTTTGTTCTGGGCTACAGAGGTCAGTATGTATAAAAAAAAGATACAAGAAGTAGTTCAATTGCTAAAGTTTTACGCACTGGGAGTAAAAAAGCTCTGCGTTCCAAAGGAAATTAGCCATGATGAACTATAAAGACAATAAGCAAAGACAGCTTGTTTTCTGTCTGCCTCGTTGTTTCTAAGGATAGCAGCGTGACTTCCCTGAATGTAACGGAAGTTAAGGGTGTTCTTGAATGCTCCACTGTCTCTGTCTTCTGGATCCTCCTTTTTTTTTGGTTGATTTTTGGGGGTTCGATTTTGTTTTCTGTTTTGGTTTTTAAATTTGGGCAAACGCTTTTTTGTCTGCTGCTTGTTGAGCACCGTCTGTCAGCTACCCTTAAAGTAGAAGTGGGGAAAAAAAGATAGATTACTTCAAATATTACTGGTGTGCTTGAACACTGTGAACAGGTTCATTTTCATTGTAATTGTTAAGATTTACATCAGGGAAAGTACTCGATGTGCAGAATTGTTTATTAGGTTTGAAAGGACAGTTGCTCGTCCTACCAGCACAGCAACACGTGAGCAGAGTGAAAGCAGGGTCAGAAGCACAGTGCAGTAGGGTACTTTATTCATTTTATGATTTAATTCTTTACGTTTTATTGTTGGGCCACATCTAAAACATTTACTGTTTTTTTTCCTGGTAAATTATTTGTACAGCTGTTGTTTTTAAGGCCCTCCTCTTTCAAACGTTCCCACTCATTTAACTTCCCTTATGCAAAGAGACTTCTGTAGCAGTGCTCAGTTGAGTATCTTTTAATTTCTACCTATGTTTTTCTGCAGAACTAAATATATTAATTTTCAATAGAGTAGTGCTTGTCAGACCTCCGGGAGACATTAAGATACTCTTTATTATGATTATGAAAACAAACAGAGGAGAGAATCCTTATATCAAGGTTCTCATCTAAATCGCTACTGAAACCTGGCACTGAAAGGGTCTCATCAAAAAACATTTTTGCTCTTTAATGGAGATTGAATGAAAGCCCAAAACTCAGGCTTTGTTGTTGAGACACAAATATAAATAAGAGACATGGAAATAGTGCTGTACAATGCGTCTTACTGAGTTCTTCCAGCATGGAAGAGTGGTTACTCATGTCTGGAAAAGTGTCAAGTTAATGCTTCTGATTAGAGATGGGTGTGAAGCTCCACAGCTTGGGCTTGGCTTGGCCGATAACCAAAGTTCCAGGGCGTGGGGATGCAGTCTCTGAGCCTGGCCTGGGTGTCACGTCTAGATACGTTACAAGATTTAGGTATTTTACATTGTAGCTACAATATATTAAACTAAATTAACTGTTAGATTTCACTTGTATCACACTCATTTTAAAAAGGGAGGGTGGGGAGAAAAAGGGTTGGAAAGGTCACGTTAACACGGCATTGTAAATCTGATACAGCTCCAGATGCCTGAAGAGGTTTCTTTTTTTTTTTTTTTTTTTTTGTATAATTCTTTAGTTTGGAGAGCAACACCAGCTGCTTTGTGATCACAATAACTATTTGAAATTTGCTTTTATATTAAGTAGAACTTCAAAGATACAATGAAAATCTCTTAACTTTCTTTTTTTAAATCAAATACAAAGGTTCTCTACTGTTAAAGAAAACGTTATACCTCAGAAGTTAAAATATGTGTGATCATTATTTTAGTGTGTTTCTTTTCCCCACTAGTAACAGTTCTAGTGTGAATCGCTCACTTCAATGTCTGTCAGTGGCTGAAGCAGGGAAAGGGAATCTTTCTAGAACTAATGGGTATTTTCATGGTTACTTGATGGCTGCCCAAATATCTGTGCAGATCGAGTAATACGTCCTTGTGAATTTAACTGAAGCACATATCGGTTATTTATAAACTAAAATGTTTCTGAATAAGGATTGTCAGTGGAAAACCGAAACAAAAACCACTCTGAGATCACCTGTTCGAACCGTGATGCTGACTGTTCGAGTTCAGCTAATCTGCAAATCTGAGTTTACATAGGTATTGTCGTTACTGTCGTTGCTGTATTCTCAGTGAGTGATTCTCTGTGGAACAGAATAAAAAAAAAAAAAAAATGATGCCCTCCGTTTAATGAGGACTTCCAGAGAACTTGATTGAAGCCCAATGATACTTAATGGTAATGACCGGTGTGTAATGGGGAACAATAATTCTGTGGAATTAAGATGAGGCACTTCAGCTAAAATGCTTCAGCTGAGACCTGGTGCTAATGCATTAGACTCCTGTTGATTGGGAATTCTGCTCCATCCGGTAACACACTGATTAAACAGATCCTACAGTGCCACGGTTGAGAGAATGGTACAAGGCAACAGAACATCGATGCTAACAATGGTCATCTTTGAAGCAACATGCTTTTTAGAAACAAAAAGAGAAAGGTCAGCAATTGCCCTCTGTTTTCAGCAGAAATCATGACATGGAGTGTTTCCTGGCAGGTATCCACCTCTAGGTGCTCTAGGGAGAAAGAGAAAAGAAAAATAACAAGGTGTATCCCTGGGGAGATTTCCTTCCTGACCTCAGAGTGGTTGGATCAGTTCATCATCAGGCACGTGAGCAAAGCTGCCTGTGTTTGAGAATTCACCCAGTTAGCTTCTAACACGAAGCACTGAAGGATCTGTGTCATTCAGGAAAAAGAACAATGGGTAAGAGTGATGGGCTAATACTGTCAGTGAGTTAGGAATGCAGACTGGAAGAAACAAAAAGGGATAGTCTAAATCAGAATCCTTTTCAGGCTGATGGTGAAAGAATGTGCTGGAGACCCCCATGGTCAGGCTTGGATATGGATAGAAATCACTGAACCGTTGTTAGAGTTTCTTGTTTGAAATACAATATACTGGTTTAACTGTATTCAAAAGAGAAAGAAAATTAAATCGGAACAGGTGCAGGAATGGATCGTTAAGGTGACTGGGGAGTGGACGAGAGCTTGGCTCAAATGCTCTGGTGACATGCACTGAGAAGGGACATAACTGCTGTCTAAAAATACCCTAAGGTAGATCAGAATGGGAAATAATAATTTTTAAAGCTAGTGTTAAGCATAAACTGGCTAGGAATAAACTTAGGCTGTAAACCATGAATTCCCTAACCACCAGGACAAGCAGGCTTTAAAACAAGAGGGGTACCAAAGGCAAAAGCTTGACATGGTTGAAGACAATTTTATAAAAGTAGCGACATGGTTTGGTTGTCTGTAATAGCAGGAGACTAGATGTCAGTGACCCAGGAGTTATCTCCTACCCCTGTGCCCCTATAATTTTAGGAGGCCCCATTCCTGAAATGAAGGCCATGTGCACAGTTTTTGCTGTTAGCCCAGAGTGTGCAGCAGGCTCAGGGTCTCGGGGAGGCTTTCCCAAAGAGTTCAGTGAAAGCTTTGAGCAGAGAGAGGCTGCTGGCATTTTTCACATTGTTTATCTTATTCCTAATCCAACTATGAAGCAAACACGTTATATTCTCGCATCTACTTCTGTATTACTCGCTCAACCAAAATGCCTGTTGACATCAAGGGGAGCCCTGTCCAAGTGAAGACAGCAGGATGAGGCCTGACATCTTTTCTTCCACCCAGCTGGAAAATAATAATAATGATGATAATTTTTTTAAATCCTCATAGTAGTTTTTCTTTGGAAAAGTTAAAATAACATGGTGCTGTGACTAGAGAGTTATAAGGGAAAGTGCATCAGGAATGTAATATTGTTTCCAGATGTACAATGTCATAAAGAATTTTTTCCGCACTTGGAATGGTAACAGGAATTTTTTGAGAGAGATCATTTACACAGTGATGAGATATGTTACATGTAAGTAAATGCCTGTATGCCTGGAATGTTTGTACCATATGTCCGAATAGGTGTCTGTGAGTGATACAGCTTTTGTATATAAGATGATGTGTATTTACTTGCGTGTGTGATTTGAAGAGGAGCATACTTTAGAGCACAGAAATACCAATATAATGTATAGATGGGGGAGGAAAAATGGTAGTAGCCAGGTAAAGGTTTGTAAAGAAATACACCACTTTTTGAACTGTGCAGGCAGGTGAAAGAGGGGCAGCACAGCTCAGAGAACCTGAGTTCAATGTGCTAAAGACAGTTTGTCTGAATGTCACGGTAGGTGAAACCTCATTGTGGTTTTTGAGCAGGGATTACACTACAGAAATCCACCTGGGAAACAAAAATAATGTGGAGATAACAGCAGATGCATTTCTTCAGTACTGCTGGGGAATCACTGTTTTATGTCTGTGGCTTCGTAGCTAGTAAGACCCTTGCAGATTTGCAGAGAGCATCTTAAGAACTGCTGACATCACCACTTAGGAACCTGCAACTCCCTCGCTGGTCCTAGAGATGGAACCTACGTTTGGGTGGATGAAGGAATAACCCATTGCCCTGTCTATTTCCTGCTTGATTGGCTGTCCTCTGAAATTCCAACAGAGATGACTTGTTGATCCAGCTGCTGGGCAGCACAAAATCTTTAGTCTTTATGCGGTCTGTGTCAAATCTGGCCCTCAACTACGATCACTGGAGTCCGAGACGTACTTTGATGGTCTCAGGTCATTCCCTTAGGATTACCTTTTGCCTTAACTACTGAATTTAGGTAAAAGACCATCAGCTGAATAGGCATAGAAGCCAAATTATCATACACAAGAAGTGCCATCAGATCAGGAAAAGAAAAACACACCAAAACCGTTTGCTAGTAATTTGCCAGTGCTGTGGACAAATCTGAGAATTTAACTCTCCAGGGCAATTGGCACATCACGTTTCATCAGCACGAAATACAGGTTTTTTAAAAAAAAAAGGCTTGGAATGTTTTACGATGTTAGGAGAACAAGTGCTATTGATAAATATGTGTTCAGAAGGGTATTGGCAAAAATGCATAGAAATGGTTAACAAGGTAATGGTAAGAAACGTTGACCTTGATTTGTTTAGCTAAGATGTAAAGATTTTTGAAGGTCAAAGGTGTTCTCGTGTAGTGTTTTGGAGTCTGACTGTGTCTGACCCTCTAACATTAAGCTGCTGTGGCCTGCAGTTTTGAAGAGTGAAGCAAACCAGGGGGAAAGAGAGAAGGGGGAGAGAACAGGAAATGGAGTGAGGTGTTTCAGGAAGTTGTCAGGAGTTGACTGATTGATTCCAGATGGAAAGGGTCACCCTTCATGACCCAGGAAATACTCACTGGGGGAAAGCAGTTGGCTTGTGAAAGGGAAGGGCCTGGGAGTTAGAGACCATAGTGGAATGCACATTCCTCTTCCTTTTATCCATAAAACATTGGGTTTTAATCTTCAGTATAGAACAATTGGATTGTCATCTTCATCAGGCAAGAGGGAATGACCGGAGCAAAGTGAAGAAGTCCAGTAATTTTTATGTCCCTCATCTCACATGTTCTTATTCCACATTGCTGATAATGACTTGGCTAGCAGTGTCGTGGCAAAGACGACAAAGATCTCTGCTGAATTTCAAGAGTACCACAGAGGTTACTGGAAAAAAGGTCCAAAACTTTGAGAACGTTCTGGTCCAGACCTGAACTTTGCATTTTGTCCTGTCCCTGCGAATGGTCTATATATTTACCCTAGGTCCCAGCCTGTGAAATGCCAAGTGGCTTTGACCCTCCTGTGATGAATGGGAGAGGTGAATAAAACTGGAACCGCTCAT